AATAAACGCCAAAGCAAACAAATTAACAATATAAAGATAGTAATTAAAATTAGTCATAGTAGTTAAAGTTATAAAAAAACATTAAAAGTCAAAAACTACTAATACGAAAAACAAAAGAAAAAAAATGAATTGTTTATTGCACATTATACTAAATAATAATTACTAAAAATGTAGATTTATGGAAAATAATAAAAGAACTTCTTCGTTTAAACTTTGGCATCTTTTCAAAAGAATTAGAAAAATAATACGATAATATTTATATTATAGATACAACACGAAATGTGAAAAATAATTAAAATATTATATGATAGAAAATAATGTATATAGAGGGAAATAGAAGTAATGTGAAGGGGTCTACACTTTTAATTTGTTTAATAAAATAATTAAATAGGAAAAATAATATTATTGATAAATTTAAACAAAACAATTGGAGCTAGGGAACAAAAGAACAAAGCTAAATTAATTTTAGGATAATACAAAACTATATTCATTGTATTATACTACAAGTAGAGCAATGAGTAAGGACATTAAGTAACACGATAAGCTAATAAAAAGTCACATGGCAATATAGCAAGTGTGTATTATGGTTAAGCCAAGTGGTAAGCTAATATAAAGCCACTTGGCAAATTATGACAATATTTTGTTATAGTATTTAATTTCAATTGAAAGATAGTAAATAAGATTCTTTTGAATCTGAATGGAAAGAAAGTTAAATTTGAATTGATTGATTAATTAATTAGGAAAGCTAATCAACACATAAATGTTCCAATTCAAACGGGAGGCTCAACGAGTGAGGCAAATTCCGAAATAATGAGAAAGTGTTTTTTGAAATTTGAGTTCACAAAAAAACAGCAGAAAAAAACAAAAAAACGTGTTTGTTACTAGAAATAAGACTAAAAATCTAGGTTCGAACCTATAATCATAATTACCGAGTTGTTGGATGAAAACTTAACTTTCGTAACTACCTTAGTGANTTTATTATGTTGAGGTAATAATATAATATAGTTTTTTATAAGTTTAAATTTAAGATATTACTAAATGTATTTTTATTTTATTACTCTATATAGTATGACTTCACTCAGTTTCAATATAGATGAGATAGTCTGACTTGACACGAAATTTAAGAATGAAAAAGAAAACTTTTGAAACTTATGATCCTAATAGTTTTGTGGGCCATGATATTTGCATGGATGTAAGAACTTCTCATTATATGTAAAATGGGTAAAATAAAAATTTTAAATTTAAATTATTTCCAAATACAGAAATGTGCCATTATTTTGAAATGAACTAATAAGAAAAATATTTTATGTAAATTGAAAGGGAATGAGTATTTATTTTTGAATCATATTGTATTTTTATTTGTTTGTATCACCGGCTATATATGGGGTTATAATATTTAAGTTTATTTCAATAGTTATTCATATAATTTGTTCTTTTTAATTTACTAGTCTCTATAAACGTGCGTTGCATGATATTCCCCGTCAATCATATTAAAAATCTAATTAATTTTATTTTTAATTATATTATATCTATTTTATGAGGTATGAAAAAGTTATTAGGGTCATATCCTCTTAATACTTCTTAATTTAAAAATAACGTTCTAAATATACATTCCCTTTGTTGCTGCTACCCTTGTGGAAAAAAAAAGGTTATGACTAAAATAATTGAATATTAGGAATTGAGGCCGTGATCGTATGTTGTGTTGTTGTTATTAATTATAATTATAAAAATATTAGAAGGATATCAGTCGTTTTTTGGCGTAAGAAGTCAAACTCTTGTGCGAACGCGTTTGGTTGGACGTTATTTCATTGATGTTTACACAAATTATCGGAGATAAGAAGTTTTACTCATCAAAGGGTGAGATTTCACAATTTTCCTGTCTCACTGCAAAAATAGAATATGACAAAAATAAAAATAGAATATGACAAAAGTCAAGTTCCTTGTAAAACAAACGCACAACTTTCTTTTCTTTTTTTACTATTCTATTGTAATGGTAGCATCTGTGGCTAATTGTTTTTCTTTCTATTCTCCAAAAGTGATAACATAATTCGAAATGAGTTCACTAAATTAAAGTGATCACAAAGAGTAAGCTACAATATTTAAAAATTATAGTCTTCCCATCTCCATAAGTTTTTTCTCACTTCATGGTAGTCTATTGCAATGAAATTTCATACGTATTAGGAAGAATTTCACCTATTTTATTTTCTTTTAACACTTGCAAAATATAATTATTTAACTTTATGATGGCTATTTCTATTCTTTCTCATCCTCTTCTCTTATGTTGTAAGCATATTCACATTGATTTATTTTCTTTGTTATGGATATTTACGCTCAGTAATTTTTTTATACCACTTAATTTTCACCTAAAAGGTATAATATACTCTGTCATTAAAAAAATAAGAGAAAAGGTTAACATTATAATTTAATTAAACAAATAATCCTTTAATAAAATTTAAATAATTTAACTTTAATCAAAATTGAAATTATGAAGAGACAAAGAAGTAACATAGATCGGTATTATGTTCATTTAATCTTGAATAGGCATTACATAAAAGCACAGTAAATAAATAAATACAAGAAAAAAATCTTAGGTTCCCTTTTAGTGAGCATGATTCGTTCATTCTCTCTAAACTCTAGACCGCATGTTTAACATTTTTAATTTTATTTTCACGTCATAAAATTATCTCCGTTTACATGTAAAATAGAAAATAAAAGTATAGCATGACTATAATTAGAATTGAAAAGTTAAAACTTACCTAAAATATGCAAAGATAAAATAAAGGAGTGTAATATTGCACTTGAAAATTCAACATCTTTAGCAACGCAAAAATCTGCTTCGCGCAATAAAGGATTTAGCACTATTATCAATAGCATGATTTTTCTAACTCATCAACACAAAACTATATGGTGTTTGCTTTTATTGGATCTTGCACATAATCTTCATAAGTCCGTCCCCAATTTTTGTAATACACAAGTAATTTTTATTTATTGAACATATAGGTCAGAGAATTCAGTGATGTGCTTATTTTTTGGTCAAAATATCAGAATGTCTTTAGTTCTTTTAATAGAATAATCACTTTCTCTAGAAAATTAGGAATACCTATAAATTTTTGCTTTATTGGTAGAACAAGTTATTTCTTCTTAAATTAGAGAATACTTCTCGAAAAGTTATTTTCTTTTATATTTAAAGAATTTATTGATTGCAGAATTTTATTCCTTATTAACGGGTACTTGTTTCGTTCATTTAATTTAGTTTTTATTATTAAAAGAAAAATTGCTTCCTGATTGAAAAGTCCTTTTTCCTTTTTTTATATGTTACACTGATTTACTAAAATAATAAACGTAATAATGACTTACCCAGTTGCAATTTAAGATTTTCAAACCAAGATACTAATTAAAAAGGAAAAATATAAAAAATAAAAGGGAGATATTTGTCTTTTGCACTTAAAATTTTTAAATTAAAGTTATACTCATTAAGCATATATATGACGTTGACTACATCCTCTATTTTTTTATTTGTTAATTTTTACTTTTAGTTGCTTAAAAGAGGAATACTTACCATACCAGAAGACCTCTCCTGCTATATTTAAGTTTGAATTTTTGTCTTTGAATCCTTGTAGGTGTCGGAAAAAAAGCATATTAAAATTACATTGTTGTCCAACACAGAATATATATATTTGAAGGGTTATTTTAGGTTATTTTTGTAAACCGACATTGTATTCATGCTTTTATAATAATATAGATATAGATAGATATAGATAGATAGAATTTAGCAATATCATAATATTATCCGCACATCGTGCGGGAACTAATACTAGTTTAAAAAAAAAAAAAATCTCTTTAAGTCCACATGAACCAAGAAAGAAGACAAGCTCATCTCATGGATCACTCGGTCACGCCCTTACGCACAAAAGATTCACATGATATCAAAGAAATAAACATAAGACATCATAAAACTCAAAGTTCAATATTGATTTTGGCGTCATGGTTTAGTGATAAACACATGATAATTTGATAAATGAGCTCCATCCCGTCAAGTTTTATAACACAAAAACATACCACACGATTGCACGACAATAGCTTATCAGGCAGCAGGAAGAGTTCTCTAAGTTATAAATGTAGTGTAACAGTCTAATGGACAAGACAATGTAAGTTAAACTTCCGAAGATTCAAACAACTTCTCAACATCTGCTATTATGGTTCGAGCTTCTTCAAATTCGGGGCCGTCTTTTTGGTCTGTCTCCTCTAACTCAACCTGAAATAATATTCCCCAAAATTATCATCAGAGAAACAGCTAACATGAGCTCCCCAAGTAAAACAGATGGAGGCAATAGGAAGCACAGCTTCATGCATTTTTAATGAGACTTGAACTAATGCAACCTACTGACAGTAAAGAAGACCTCATAGTACTACAAATCAACTTTCAAGAGATTCGTATCTACTAATTATCAAGGCAAAAACTTGTGAGCTTTTGGCGTTGCCCATAATTGAACCCCACCCCTTACCTTGCAATATCGTTTTTGTCTACTTGGACAAAGGCATTCTGCGAAAATTCATTCGTTTTCGTTTACTTTAACAAAGACATACTGCTAAAGTTCAAAATACAAATCAGAACAGAGAAGCTAAGATGCATCTTGTGCTCCTTTCACACAATCACCAAAGGATCAGTTGCAGCAAGAACTGTAAAGCCTTCCCTTGTAACGGAGTCGTTGGACTTCTTTGGTTCAAGAGTACATAATATAGACTAGTAATCTTTCATAATTTGTTAGACAACATTTCACGGCCCAAGTCCTTATCAGTGAAACATTTGTGTGCCTAAAAAGAAACGACTGCTGATTTGAAAATCAAAATCTTTCCTTCACTATCTTAATCTCATTTGCCAACATATGCTGCTCCCAGTTTGGCGGTTTTAACATTTTACCCTAAGAGAGACTTGATAGGTAAACTAAAACTTATAGTCAGCTTTCTTGCTATAACAACATGATGCAGCTTTTTCCAACAAGGACTAGCTTTAATTTTTCTTTTCTAGTTTTCCTGGTCAGTTTAGATGAGGGCTTTCATCCCTTCCAGTGATATGTATGTACAATATCCCAAAAATTTCATCTTAAGCTTTAGCCAACATTTTTAGCATGACCACTTGTCAAGAACAGAAGCATACGTCCCCCAAAAATTCCATTAAGTCATCCCACCATAAGAACCAAGCATCCGGCAAGAAGATCTCACTCACAGATTGAATCGGCTCTAAGAGTAACTTAGCCTAGTATAGTATGACGAAAAATTATAGTCTATTCAATTAAGGGAAAAAACACACATTTTTCGGTAGCAGGAGTAAGTCTTTTGTACTATTACACAACAGCGAAGACAGCAATCGTTAAGAGAAGGAATCAGGCCAACCACATAATGATGATCAAATTAATTTGATCAAGATGTGCAATGTAATGATCCTCATGTTAATCCCCCAGGGCTTTGGCTTGGTGGTAAAGAGCGCAACACTGACGTGTGGATTAGGTGCACGTCACGGTTTGAGCCCTGCTGCAGACAAAAACCATATATTCAAGTGGAGAAAGGGAGAGGGGTGGATCCACTATCCACTGAGTTTCGTACCCCGCCACTAGCCCTCCGGGATCTCGCTGTAACAAGAAAGATCCAAGGAGGAGGTCAGACCTACAACTCAGGAAGAGAGTTTTCTAGAAACAAAGAAGATCAAGCTCTGAGCTTTGTCTAGCCATTGGTTTCTTTTGCTCTGAGCTCCAGAACGTCTAATTCGAGATGGTTACTCAGCAAAAGTCACAAGTGAATAGAGAACTAAACTACAAATGGTAAGAGACCAAAGAGGTAGATTGCTATAGAGATTCTAGAGAGCAAATGAAGCTCTGATAAAGCGAACATAGTGTTGGAGCTGATAGGACCTGTCTTTAGCTTCAAAGCTCTTCTGCTAAGCTTCAATTGCCACCATATAAGGGTGAGGAACACATGCAAGAGGTGAGTTTGACGAGTCAAGCACAAAGGTGCCAAACTCGGTTCGAACATATATTATGAAGAGAATTGGGTTATTGAGGGTTTCAAAAAGAAAACTCAGGCCTTGTTCGGAAGAACTGAAAGCAGATGAGCCAAAAACAATCACTCTGTCTGACCTATCGGGGTTCCTTACCGAGGGTTTCAAAGGGGATGCTAGGACTTTCATTGAGCATAGATGGAGCACAAACAATCAGCTTATCATCAGCAGACACCCCGATAAGAAAGATCTAACGAAGATAGAATTTCAAATAAATTAAGGGGGCCTTCAGTGACACAATGGGAAAGAAGGAAAACAGCCAAAAGTAATGAAAGTTCACATTCTCATTTGGATAAAAAGAATCATAAAATGGGAGGACGCTAAAGATGCTCACTGCAAAATAAAAGATAATATGCACCCAAGGGTGTGGTATGGTGGTCAATGAAGTGGGTACAAACCTTGGGGACTAGGGTTAAAATCCTGACAAAGATAAAAAAAAAACGTGATTTCTTCCCATCTGCCTAAGTATTGGTGGGCAAAGTTACCCGATATGTATGCTAATAGGAGATAATAGGTAGCCGACCGAATAAAGGCACACGCAAGTTAGCCCTGACACCACTGTCATAAAAAAGTTGAAAGATAATATCTTCTACTTTAAAAAACAAATTATTTCAATGAAAGAAATATTGAAGAGTGGTCTTATCAAATCGTTAGACAAATATGATAGGATAATGGGTGGATTGGGTTAACCTAAGATCCATAGGTAGAACTTAGAAGAGGTGGTGTAATTATAATGTGAGAATACGAGTCGCAAGGATAGTCAGTATGGAAATTATTTGATTTATTTTGTGTCAGTAACCCAGTATCCATAATGCAGCTAAAATTACATACGGTGTAGCTGCACCATGCTCTAGGAAATGTCATTGTCAGTATTTGGGACAAGGAGCCATATGAAAGATCTAACAAGGGAGTTCTATGTTTCTGGTTCTAGAAGGGCTTCCTCTGGGAAGCAAGTTGATCTCATAGACAGGACTTGCAAAGAATTAGCACGATCCTCAGATTAATAGCATCAAACTTGAACACATGTCAGATATATTTAACATAAATTGCTGTGAGTAATCTCAAAAAGCAGCTAACAAGGATAACTTTATTTGCGATTGGATTAAAGTAAAGATTAATAAGAAAGATTACTCCAGCTAAAGAACTTAACATCATTATTAGCAAGAAAAAGGCTCTTTGACATGTACAACAACACATTTAAAGAGCTTTAATGCATGTCACTCAACGTTCCAGAGTAACTCAACAACAACAACAACAACAATAACAAAAACAAAAAAAACCCAGTGTAAACCCACAAGTGGAGTATGAGAAGGATAGTGTATACGCAGACCTTACCCCTACCTTGAGAAAGTAGAGAGGCTGTTTCAGATAGACCCTCGGCTCAACAGGATAAAAAAGATAAGTTTTTAAAAAAATGTGGGTTATCTAAAAAAAAAAAGCATAAGCTTGACGATGTTGATTGGCTTTATACTATCCAGCCAAAGGTCCCTTGATTCAGAGTGCATAAATTAGACGACCATTGAGACGGTTATTAAAAGAGAACTTAATATGTAACATGTGGTCCGAAATTCTTTGTACAAGATAGACTTCAATTCAAAGCAAGAAATTTATTTTCATCTTAAATGACTTAAAGCATTTCAAGCAAGATTGTCTTCTAATCCTGGAGGGACCTGGTTTCCAGTTGTATCGTGTGATAATTTGGTCACAAACTACTGATTGTTTTGGCCATTAAAAGAGAGGTTGGTCAAGTGCGTCACATTCTTAATTCACCTGAAAACTTTGTTACTGGCTCAGCAGTGACACAGGTTATATGGATTCAAACCTATGTTGCTCAGACTCTCCAAAATGTCAGCGGGTGCGTGTCGGATCCTTAAAAAATAGTGCATTTTTGGAGGATCCGACATGGGTGCGGCGCCATTTTGGAGAGTCCGCGCAACATAGATTCAAACAAATGGCATGAAGTTTGTAGTTCGCAATCCGAAGTATTACACCAGCAATCGATAGTGTAAAGCCAAAATGAAGAAAACTACATGCCCACATGAGATGCAGAAACAAAAGAATGAATCTGGACATCTGTAGAGTTCCTTTCTCTGCACCCTGGAAAAGCGATGACCAACAAGTCATTCAAGACAGTCAAGTATAAGTGTATAACACATTTGTAGAAGGAGATTCATGTAACTATTGACAGATGCTGAAAGCAGTTAAGCTACTAAAGCGGAAGAAGAAGCAGGAACAAGTGAGCACATGATATTGCATATAGGCATATCTGGCAACGTAAGGCAGAAGCAGCTGGAAAATCTTGAAGAATGACAGCCAAAAGAGCATAAATTCCTATGGGAACTATCAGAACCAATAAAATATGGGATCAAGGTTGTCTTATTGTTAACTTAGCACTTTTCAGCGTCAAGTAAGTCTGCAAATATGAATGCCAAGAACAACTCCCGCCTGGCCAATATCAATTTGAGACCACTCCAAGTATTTTTAACAGCAGTAACTACGACAGATTAATCCAATGCTGAGTATCTTGAGCTGCAACTTGCAACCACAGCAACGGCTTAATTTAAGCATAAAATCAAATTGTACCTCTTTTGATGGATCAAACTACTTGCAGTATCCCATTGATTCATTTAGTCATCTTCCTACATATTTCCCTAGCTTTGCCATTTGACATTTTCAGTTCTATTCCTGGAGGAGAGTGGTTTCTTTTTCTTATTTTTTTTTTTTTGGGGGGGGGGGGGGGGGGGGAGGGGTAATCCCAGAAGTTTAGCAGCATTAATTGTAGATTACACAATACCAGAGCTCCTTTAAGGTCATCCAATGCTGCTTCCAGGCGCTTGCGACAATCAGGAACCATCATTCTGGATTCAGCCAGCACATTTTCCTGCAGAATATACATAATTAAACAACGCAAACAAGTAATCAGAGGATATTAAGTGCAATGCAACAATCACCAAGTCCTTAAATGTCAGAACTATCTAAAATACAGTTGCTACAACTTATAATGACATTTCCTGAACATACCCAGGTGCTGAAGGTTCTTTGACTAGATCAATGCATGTATATAAACCCTACAAAAATCCCTAAGGTCTAGTCTCTTAAAATACTCAGATTTTGTTGGGTTAGCTCTGATTAAAATTGCATATGATGACATCCAAGCTTTTATAAAGCTAATACGCAGTAGAATAACTCAAAAGAGAAGAAATATTATTCTTTCTACTTGATCAGTTAAATTTTATTAGAAGAGAAATCACACAAGAGAGTTGTAATCTATACACAATCACACAAGGAGGTTGTAAGATGAAAACAGAAAAGCAATAGCTGTTGTTTCTTTCCCTCTCAGTAAATTTTTTACAATCATTTTTTCACTCGTAGTTGATGCTACATCTTAAGTAACTCCCCTTTCTCGCTTTGTGTTACCTCTCCTCCCTGTTTAACAATTTCCCTTAATGTACATTTAATACTCAGAGAGGCATATAAACATGTTGCATGTATACATTCACGCAAACCTGTGACTAGTGTAGGAAAAGGAATAATGGTGGTTTTTCCAGATACTTATTACTTTTCTCACTACACATCTAACTTCATAATATGTCCCTCAAAATCCAAGATAATTTAGCCCCATTAGATTTTTTCTAGTGGTAAAAGTGCTTGTGAGAGCTACGCGAACATCACGGGTGACAAAAGCTTAGCATTTAAATGGAGAAGGGTATAAGGGCGTGCCCATCATCCATCAAGTTTCAAACCTTGAGCCATTGGCCCTCGAGTATTTCTCGATTATCCAAAAATCCAAGCTTCACATCAGTGGCGGATGTATGTTGATGGTTATGGGTGCTCAAGCACCCATTGCTTTTGGAGTCATGAACTATTATTTATAAAAAAAAGGCTAGTAATTCTTACAAATATATTACTTGAGCACCCAGTCTTAATAGTAATTTTCAAATAGATTATAGTTCAGGGCCCATGGCTTAAAAATTCTAGATCCGCCATTGCTTCACATGATATCAATTTTTTTAACTCAAAGCGACATAAACCAAGTGAACTTCAGAAATTCTACAAGACAACAATGAAGGTGATTATGTGAACTTCATGATCTCTATTAGCTAACTTAAAATTAAATTTGTCTATTTATCTTGTGTGTGTGTCCGCAGGGCTGGGGATTTTGATGTCATTAAAAATGTCCTAATCTCCCCCATTAATCACACAACAGTGGGGAGTAAACAGTAAAAATGAGAGGCAAATGCTTCAAAATTAAAATCGTAACAAAATTGAAACCTGTTGCTTGAGATCATAGGGATCGGCGCCTTTGTCCTTCATATCAGCAGTCTTGGCAGTTTCTCTCTCCACCTCTTTCTCATAGGAATGGAGCTCCTTCAGTATGCGCTTGCAAGTTGATGTCTTGATTTTCAGATTTCTGACGGTAGCCATTGTCAAAGCTTCGACTGAAAGCAGTAAAATCTGTAGGGTAGTTTGAGAAGGTTTAGCAAGGGTATTAGAAGGGGCTCTGGGAACGCGTACTAAATCTTTGAAGATTGTTAGTAGGCTACTTCTACTTTAAATAAATTATTTTAAACTTGAATTTTATGATTAATTATAGAGAAAATTACACATAAGCATTACCCACACACATACATTGCAAATAGGTGATGCAGTTATATAACTTTACAAATCCATAGCCAAAAATTTCCAAAAACAAGAGAACAGAATCAGTAGGCGTTGTTTGGACAAAAGAATTGTAATTTTTGAAGAAAAAATGTAATATTTGGAGTTAAGTTGAAAAATAGTATTTGGAATTTGAAATTATGTTTGAACATGCATCTCACTTGAAAAAATGTTGCCGTTTTGTAACTAAGGGAAAAAGTTTTTTCTGAAAATTTGAAAAAGTGGTCTTTGAAAATATCATTTTCGAAAAATTCTCCAAAACTTGCAAAATTTCATGGATAACATACTTTTTTAAAAAAAAAAAAAAATTAAAGACAAACGGGGCCTTCTATGGTTCTTTTTTTTTTTTGGTTGTCAAGACTACTTTATATTAATTAAGCATACGTTACAGGGAGCTTCTGCCTGTAGGCAGTATTACAAAACGACCCATTTGAACTATTATCGGCAGTGTTGTGCCGTTGTACATTAAGAAAAAAAGATTGACTACTACTACTACTATGTTGGGCATCCTGCACTAGTAATGCATTTGTAGAGGCATAGCTTGTGGAAGGCACGTCAGTGATGGTACAAAAAGATTGTGTTGAGTCCATGCAAAAGGTGTTCCTTGTCGTGACCCTTCTAAGCTTCCCACAGCCTTGCTTATCATTCATAAGTTCCCGCCAGATGAAATGCGGAGGATCTGCAAAAAAGGTGATGCTGGTGCCCTCCAGTTCCATTCCAAAATGAGCTAGTTTATCTGCTACCATGTTTTGCTCCCTGTAGGTATGACTGAGTCGGGGGACTACTCAGTTGTTGGATCAGAAACTTGCAATCAATTAACAGGGGTGAGTCGAGTAAAGTATTATTTTGTTGCATCTTTATTACCTCTTGTGCATCCATTTGAATTTGGAGAGTAGTTAGGTTGTGCATAATTGCCATTTGCAACCCGCGTAGTAAGGCCATGAGTTCGATATTGATAACGGTGGTCAAAGATAATGTCCCGCATAACCCATGAGCTAGTTACCTTTATGGTCTCTGAACTACCCCCCCCACCCCCCCGCCCCCAAAGCCTGCTCGTGATTTGGTATGGTTGACTGCCCCATCCATATTAAGTTGGAAGACTCTCCCTAGGGGTGGGTTCCATTTAACATACATAGGTATTTTGTTGCACGCCTTGGCAGAGTGATCAGTGAGATATTGAAATTCATCTGTCAGTTGGAGAATTGTTGATATAGGGGGTTTTCGATTCTGATTTTTAAAACAAAATTTATTTCTAACGTTCCAAAGGTGCCATAAGGTGAAAGGAATTAATTTTTTTAAAGGAATGCTGATAGAGGAAAGGGTGCCTTTTTGGAGAACCGGTTGTTTTAACCACACTATGTTAGGAGTGTTAGAAGTAATTAAAGAACGAATAATGGCTCCTAGATTTAGGTCGTCCCAACATTATTTGGCGCGAGTACAATGCATCAAGATGTGGCTTATTGATTCTTCTCCGGCGTGGCATATGGTGCATATGTTAGAGGGAATAATTCAAATTGATGGAGGTATAGTTTGGTAGGCACCCTATTATGGCTAATTAACCATAGGAAAATTTTAATTTTGGGTAGCATGTGGGGTTTCCAAATCCACCCATGATGGTTAGCTGTATGTGTTGATTTTCTGAGCATGTTGTAACACGAGCTAACACTGAAGAAGCCTGTAGGAGTTAGACCCCAGATGATATGATCGGATTGGTTTCCATAAGTAGTGAGGTAAGTGGTGTTTATTATGTGGGTGATATGGCCAGGTAAATCAAAAGAAAGGGTTGTGTGAGTTTCTTCTTTAAGATTTAGAGCCTTAGCAACTGTCAACCCAGCTTCGTGATTGTTTAAGGGTCCATGTATAAGGCTTCGAATATTGGTGTTTGGAGCTATCCAATTGTCAGTCCAAAAGCGCACACGTGTGACTTTGGTAACTTGCCATTGTAGGCCATATTGGCAAGTCTGCCACCCACGCATAATGTGTTTCCATAAGGTGGAGGTTTTTCGGATTTGATTACGGGGGTTAGTAATATATTTATTAAGGAGGAAGGAAGCCCAATGGGTTTGGGGATTATGGAAAAGCCTCCAGCAGTAGCAGCTAGTAGAGCGTCATTTTTATCTCTAAGACTTTGAATACCTATTCCCCCTTGATCCTTGTTGGTAGTTATTATATTCCAATTAATAAGGTGTAGCCGTCTTTTTTGTGGGTTGGAGCCCCAAAGAAAATTCTTTTGATAGGATTCTAATCTAGAGATCAAATTAGTTTGAAGGGAAATGATTTGCATGATGTGGTTGGGAATGCCATTAAGAGTTGCCTTAATTAAAGTAGTACGTCATGTTTAGGTGAGTCGTTTTCCATCCCGCCAGCCTATTCTTGAAATTGTCAATTATGAATTAAAAATCTCTTTTGGTGGGCTTAGAATTAAAGATAGGAAAACCTAGATACTTACCAAAAAATTTGCCTTTCGGCATATTAAAGGAGGATAGTATGACATTCTTATCATTTGTTGTACAATATTTTGAGAAATAAATTTTTGACTTGTCAAAATTTATTTTTTGCCCTGAGTGGGTGGTGAATTGTTCCAATATTTCAATAACGTGGTGGTAGCTGGCAGTGGTTATTTTGGAAGCCAAAATAATGTCATCGGCGAAGAATAAATGGGATATTTTTGGGAGCTTTGACGTTCATAGTAATAGGCTTCCATTGGTTATAATCCACTCTATTATTTATTCGTCGGTATAGCAGTTCTATGCATAGAATAAAAAGATAGGGTGAGAGCGGGTCACCTTGCCTAATACCTCTAGACGAATGAAGAAATTTGTTGGGGAGCAATTAATAAGGATGGATGTAGAAATGGAAGATACGCACGACATAATGATTTAGATTAAGTGGGGAGGGAAGTTGAAGAATTGTAATGACCTGCATATAAAACTCCATTCCATTCTATCAAAAGCTTTTTCTAGATCAATTTTGAGAAGCATGCTTGAGCATTTTGCGCGGGAGGTTCTAAAATGATAAAGTAATTCCTACTCGGATGCCCTTCTATTCTTTTGGAAGGCAGATTGAGTAGGGTTAATAAGTCGATCTAAAAACGGCGTAATACGATTGACAAAAATTTTGGTGATAACCTTATAAAGGGTGTTGCACAAACTAATAGGTCTAAAATGTGTTGTATTAGAAGGACTTCTGATTTTTGAAATTAAGTAGATGTAAGTCTTATTCAACTCCTTAGGAATATGACCAAATTGGAAAATAGTTTTGCAAAAATGAATTACAGAATATTTGATTTTATGCCAAAATCTTTGGTAAAAGTGGGTGAAGGCCATCTGGGCCTGGTAACTTGAGGGGTTGGAAGGAGTATACAACATCTATTATTTCTTGGTCTGTCACTAGTAAAGCTAAGCTATTAGCCTCAACCTGTGATAGAGTATTATAAGGACAACTAGGAAAATACATATGTGAGGCGTTGTGAGAAGTTGTATATAAATTCTGGTAGTAGTGAGTAATTAGCTGTTAGAGTTGATCATGTTCAGGTTTCCAATTTCCTGAGGAATATTTTAGAGCAAATATTTTATTCCGTCGCCTTCGTTTGAGGGTAGATAGATGAAAAAATATAGTGTTAGCATCCCCTTGATTAAGCCAATTGATACGTGATTTCAACTTCCAATAATCTTCCTCTTGAGTGAGGAGATGATTATATTGGGATATAAGATCTTGTTCCAAATTTTGAAGGAAGTTACTAGTTGGATAGTTAGGAGATTTTAACATTCCCACTAGTCTAGCCGTAATTTGATTTTTTTTTACGAAAAATATTACCAAACGACTCTTTATTCCAAAGTTTTACTACTAAAGTAAAATCTTGTATGGCCTCTAACATAAGAGGACTGGTACTCCAAATATTATGAACTAAATGGGGAAATTCTTGGTGAGACAACCACATAGTTTCCATACGGAAGACATCTTTTGTAGATGGCCTATTTTTGTGAAGAGTAAGCATTAAAGGACAGTGGTCCGAATGAGTTCTGGGTAAATGAGTAACATGTGCTTCAGGATAAATATTAAGCCATTCCGAATTAGCTACTATACGATCCAATCTTTCTAAAATGAGAGCACCCCTCCTATGTTTGTAGTCCAAGTATATTTGCTACCGCTAAAACCTAAATCTATAAGTTGACAATAGTTAAAGCAGTTAAACAACAAATCTGCCCTGTTATTATTTGAAGTACATCCCCCAAGTTTTTCGTTCGCATATAAAATGTCATTAAAGTCCCCTCCTACAATCCATGAACCTTTATAAGAATTTTCTATATGCATTAAATTTTCCCATAATACTTTCCTGGATGAGAGTAATATGCTTGCATAAATTGCTGATAATAAAAAGGGTGGGCCATGTGGACATACCTGGACCATCCAATGTATCTCTTGGCTTGTGACGATGAGTTCAGCTACGTTAAGTAAAGCTTCATTCCATAAAACTACTATACCTCCTGTCTGGCCATTAGCAGGTGCTTGTGATAGATTGGTAAAGTTAAAATCTTTCTTACTAAATTATGATCCATTAAGTGAGTTTCTCGGAGGACAACCAGTGGTGGTTGGTAGTAGTTCAGCATTGAACGAAAGTTTCTTCTAAACTGGGGTGATTGGGCACCTTTGCAGTTCCAGATGACAAAATTCATTGATTTATTCCTTTGAGGTGGTGCTGACTCTTGCTGGTGGTGGAGTCTCTTTGTTGGTCGGCTGTCTCACCTCCCTCAGTGTTGGAGTGATCACCACTGCAAACTTCCCTACTTCTGGGTTCACTGATGGGCTCAGCTTTATTAAACACTTGGTTACCTCTGGTCGACAATTGAGTATGATCTTTTTTCGTATTGCTCCTTGAGTACGTA